CATTTAGGCACTTTAGAAATTGTGTTTTAATACACTACCAGTCAAAAGGTTTTGAACAGAAAGATTTTTAATGTTTTTTTTAAAGAAGTCTCTTCTGCTCACCAAGCCTTCATTTATTTGATCCAAAATACAGCAAAAGCAGTAATATTGTGAAATATTTTTACTATTTAAAATAACTGCTTTCTATTTGAATATATTTTAAAATGTAATTTATTCTTGTGATTTCAAAGCTGAATTTTCAGCATCTTCAGTGTCACATGATCCTTCAGAAATCATTCTAATATGCTGATTTGCTGCTCAAAAAACATTTATTATTATTATGTAGTGGCCACGCCATACATAAACAAACCTGCGTGTCCATAGCAACCTGGAGTTATCAGAAATTATTAATAAATTAACATTTTATTTTGAGTTAAGAATGACATAGGACAGTGTGCCATTAAGACATGACCATATTATATTACATTTATTATATTATTATGCGATGCTCAATCTATAGATAATTTTCGAATGCCGTTTGAATGATGTCATTATCAGTTTAAGAATATGTAAGAACATAAAATAATATAGATCTGCAAGAAAACATTTTATGCATCCCGTCCCACGTTCTTTTAAACCTATGCACTTCATCTCTTACTTTTATTTAATATTTGTATATATTATTATTATTGTTATACTATTATATATTTATTTATTCTCTAGTTCTTCATTTCATGCTTATCTTTACCTAAACTAAACAACAATTACATCTTTAAAATTATACTTCCTAATATAGCCTATCCAAAATGAAATTAAATGTTATAGCTTAATATAAATTTAAAATTCCCTGAAAAGTCATATCATTTATTTCCACCTACTGGCATAGGCCTACAGAAATAGAGTCATATAGAGTTAAAGCTTTATGATAGTCGAGCATTTCCAGTATTTCCAAAACGTATATGGTACTTTATAAAATACAAAACGTTAATTGGGTAAAGAGATGCATAAAATGAAGGAGAAAATAAATATCTAATATATACAAACATCTTTACGTTATATTATAAGAATTAATATTATTATATAATAATTACATTTTAATAAAGCCATGTCTTAATGCCGCACTGTCTTCAATGTCATTCTAAATTTAAAATAAAATGTTAATTTATTAATAATCCCCCTTTTTTTTTTTATTTGCTTTGGACATGCAGGTTTATTTTTTTATTTTGTGGTTATGAGAAAAGGATGTCGTTCCCTCAACATAGGATCTCAAGGCCATATCTTCAGATGAATATGTGACCCTGGACCACAAAACCAGTCATAAGTGTCAATTTTTTGAAATTGAGATTTATACACCATCTCAAAACTGAATAAATAAGCTTTCCATTGATGTATGGTTTGTTAGGATAGGACAATATTTGGCCGAGATACAACTATTAGAAAATCTGGAATCTGAGGGTGCAAAAAAATCAAAATATTGAGAAAATCATCTTTAAAGTTGTCCAAATGAAGTTCTTAGCAATGCATATTACTAATCAAAAATTAAGTTTTGATATATTTACGGTAGGAAATTTACAAAATATCTTCATGGAACATGATCTTTACTTAATGTCCTAATGATTTTTGGCATAAAAGAAAAATCTACAATTTTGACCCATACAATGTATTTTTGGCTATTGCTACAAATATACCCCAGCGACTTAAGACTGGTTTTGTGGTCCAGGGTCACATATGATCACATGGTGACCACGAGAAAATTAAGTGAACTGAACATGACCTTGTATTATCTTCTCTCACCCAAACCTCTTTGTCATCTCACCTGGGCATCTCTGTCACCTCATCTAATCTGAGTCTCTCTTCTGTCTCATCTGAGTTTTCTTCATCTCTTCTGACTCTCTTGACTCTCTCTCTTTCCAGGAAGACTGTGGAGGAGAGTCAGAGATCGTGGCGGCGGCGGCGGCCGCTCATGCCGAGGGAACGCTCTGAATCCATGAGCTCCAGCTCCATTTATTTCACCGCCAGCGCCGGGGTCGCCAGTCTCTGTGACGACAGCGAGGTCGGGTATGTCAGCGTCATTGTCAACGGACGTTTGTGTATCAGGATGCCGTGTAGCTCTTGAGTTTGTGTTCGTTTCAGCAGTTGAGCTCTTCCACAGATACTCCACGGCCTATTCCAACGCCGAGTCCGACTACACGGACAGAGAGACGGATCAAGATGGTGAGGACGACGGGAGAGACTCGGATGAGGAGGAAGAGGAGAGCTGCGTCACGGTGCTCACGCTGAGACAGGACGATTCACAGGCCGAGGAAGAGGACGATGAAGATGCCGGTCTGATGGTGGACTCTTTAAGGGACATTCGCAGCCCTGAACTCGCCCTCCTGCTCGCCCAGTGTGATCTGCTGCATGCAGGGGACTCTGGGAAAAAAGCAGAGGGCTTCCAGCTGCTGATGGAGAACAGACCGCTGGTGAGATATTTAATGATAGCTGAAGAGATGTATGAAAAATGTTTCAAATTGCTAATTTTTTGACACAATATTCAAAGGAAATACATTACTGTAACATGATTTTTTTTGTGTGCATTTTTACAAACCTTTCATGGGAATTTTTTTTACAAATATTTCTATTTCAAATAAATACTGTTCTATTCATCAAAGAACCATGAAAAATGTATCACAGTTTCCACAAAAATATGAAGCAGCACAACTGTTTTCAACATTGATAATAATCAGAAATGTTTCTTGAGCAGCAAATCAGCATATTAGAATGATTTCTGAAGATCATGTGACACTGAAGACTGGAGTAATGATGCTGAAAATTCAGCTTTACATCACAGGAATAAATTACATTTTAAATTATATTCAAATAGAAAACAGTTATTTTAAATTGCAATAATATTTCACAATATTACTGTATTTTTCCTCAAATAAATGCAGCCTTGGTGAGCAGAAGACATGTCCAAAAACAAAAAATCGTATCAACCCCAAACTTTTGAATCATTGTGTATATTTTATAGTACTTAAATATGAAGTATTTAGTATTTAATAATTTTATTTATATTTAGTATTCAATTTATACCTGTAAAGTTAAAAACATTAAAAATCAAAACATTTAAAATGTATATAAAAGAACGAAATTTTCAAAGCAAGTGACATGTATTTTAAAAGAGCACAATTACACTTTTCAAACAAAATAAGATATGAAAATGATAAAACAATATTTCTAGCATTCAAAATAAAACAAAACCATGTCAACTGTAATAAAAATTGCATCTCTCTGTGTATGTGTGATCAGTATGCTGTTAACGTGGAGTTTATGTGGCGACTGGCTCGCGCCTACAGCGACATGTGTGAGACGGCAGACAACAGAGAAGAGAAGAGAAACTACGCAGAGCAAGGTGAGCAAATATTACACGAGTGCCCTACGATTTGGACTACACTTCCTGACGTCATGCTCTGTGAGAAAAACACTGCAAATGCATAGGAAGCATCCCCTGCTGAGTGTTTAGGGAGTATTTCACACTCCGTTGGGACTTGAAACGCAGCTTATAATGTACTGTACCTGCACTGACCTTTGACCTTTTGACACTGAAGGTCATTATGAGGCAGAGGTAGCGCTGACGAGGAATGGACTGAGCGCTGATTGTCACAAGTGGTATGAAAACAACACAAACACACCTTTACTCTGAGATGAGTTTTGATGTCTGTAGTTCATAATATGTCTGCTCTCTCAGGTTTGCCATCCTCACACGCTTGTCTTCACAGTACGAGAGCATTCACGGAAAACTGAAAAGCGGTCGCGTACTGAAGGTGAGCCTGTGAGGCTTTATGTCAGTGTTGCAGATGAACACGAGTGTCTTCTTTCTTGAGTCATGTGTTCAATGACTTTGTTTGTTCTGGATGTTCTGACAGGAGCATTTGGATCGAGCTTTGGCTCTACGTGACGATGATCCCATCTGTTTCTATCTGCTCGGCCGCTGGTGTTTAGAGGTCAGATCTGACTGCTAAAACCAAGCCAGCCAACAGTCTCTGGAATAATTTATAGTGCTTGCTAATCCTCCTTTGACAGAAAGTCAATAAGATTTTGTATTATTGCAGAAAATAAGCTCTGTGACTAACAAAAGTGTTTTGTTCATCAAGATAATCTTCACAACTGAACACAACTTTTATTAATTTTAAAGCACAAATAAAGTCAGCTGAATGTACTTGTAAAGCACTTATCACAATTTTTAAAAGGGTTAGTTCACCCAAAAATGAAAATTCTGTCATTAATTACTCACCCTCGTGTTGTTCCAAACCCGTAAGACCTTCGTTCATCTTCGGAACACAATTTAAGATATTTTGATGAAATCTGAGGGCTCTCTGACCCTCCCATAGACAGCAAGGTAACTACCACGTTCAAGGTCCAGAAAAGTACCAAGATGATCAACAAAGTAGTCCGTGTGACATCAGTGGTTCAACTATAAAGTTACGAAGCTACGAGAATACTTTTTTGTGCAAAGAAAACAAAAATAACGACTTTATTCCACATTTTCGCCTCTACTGCGTGGCGCAGCCACACGCTAGCGTCATGGTACTGTCATGAACGCGCGTCCACAAGTGACGCAGTAGAGACGAAAATGTTGAATAAAGTCGTTATTTTTGTTTTGATCGATCATCTTGGTACTTTTCTGGACCTTGAACGTGGTAGTTACCTTGCTGTCTATGGGAGGGTCAAAGAGCCCTCATATTTCATCAAAAATATCTTAAATTGTGTTCCGAAGATGAACGAAGGTCTCACGGGTTTGGAACGACACGAGGGTGAGTAATTAATGACAGAATTTTCATTTTTGGGTGAACTAACACTTTAAGAATAATCTCTCTATTATTATCATTATCTTTATTTAAATGTTAATATTATTCAATGTATTTAATATTATAA